ACACACACACACACACACACACACACACACACACACACACACACACAAGAACAGGAAGCAGAGGAAGCCCACTTCCTGTCCGAGAGGAAACTCCACCAGAGACTGATAAGGCCCATTCTCTCTGCACGGATCAAACATACACACACACGCATGCACACACACACACACGCACGCACGCACGCACGCACGCACGCACGCACGCACACTCACGCACGCACGCACGCACGCACACAATTAAGGGATTTTCTCTTATTTAAGTTTCCTTTTATTGAAAACCTTGGAAAATTTGGTTTGGAGGTGCGAACAACTGAGCTACTGTACTTACTAACAGAGAGTTGTGGAGCTCGTCAATACTCAGCACCTATCATTCATTTTGCTTATGATAAACTATGAAAACATAAGCAGGATTGTAAAATACTTTTTCTTTTCTTTACCCCTTTACATTTTGAACTACATTGACACTGTTCACAATGCAACATCATGTGATGATCTTTACTGCAAACCTATTTACAGACTGAGACTGTGGGATTTATTTGAATCTGAACCTAAGATCTCCCTCACGCTAACCAAGGAACATTATAAGAAATTGACCCTTCAGCTGCCCAAAGACTTGGGAAGAGTAACCCATGCTCTTATTATGACACTTCTCGACTGACGTCTAGTTCAATTGCCTCAGCAGAAAACTGCAACAATTTATTTTATTAACAAAAACTATATGTAGATCCAGTTTTAACTTCTCTCCATTATTCTTGATGTACACCGCATTTCATTGGTAGTTGGTGTTCTTTTACCTCCCTCGCCCATTCCCAGTAAAAAATGTGTTGGCATTGTACGTTTGTGCAAACCGCAGGATACAGTGAATGTTGACGTTCTGAACCAAAAAGACATTTCATGCGTTTCATACCGACCTTGTATCACGCTTGCAGAAACACACAATGACACGCGGTTAATGCTGTGAAATGATTTGGTTAGCTTTAGGCAAGAAAAATACTTGGTTGAAGTGAGAAAAAAGGTAATGTTTGTGTTAGAATGATAACAAAACAATGTAGCATAAATAAATAACAACTGAACCTAGCGGAGTTTCTTAACTAACATTACGTAACAAGCATAAAGTTAACATAAACAGTGGGCTCCTTGGTCAAAGACTTGCGTTTGTTTGACTCGTGCACCATCCCAACTGCCCATCGATTTTCTCGCTTGTTATTCTTGTTACTACACCATGTAACTTTAAATAGTGAGTGCTGGATGACACATTTTCGTAGGCCAAGCATCGCCCTGGTTCCCTCGAAAGCAATTTGATGGGACTTTTCAATTGAATTTTGGAATATTACAGAAAATGAGCTTTATAACACATTTTGTTCAGCAAGATCATCTTCACAAACGACCCCTTTTATGATTTTTGCTTTAAAATTCACGAGTGAGATATTTACTGAAGAAGTTTATGCTGTAGAACAGTACTTTTAAGTTTGGCCGCAAGTTTGCTCCTGTCTTTAGTGTTGATTGCATTTGAAGTGATGATGTAATTTCCATTTTAGAGAAATTATCATTCAAAGGGACAGCAAACCTATTGACTCTATACGCTTCCTATCAGTAATTGGATCGTACATGAACACACATTTTCAGAATCCCAAGAGTTTCACACGTCACTGCACCAACCAGAGTTTAGCAACATTGGAATCAAAATATGAATGCAAATCAAATCAAAAAGACATGTTGTGAGGTTGTTTGCTAATGTTGCTAGGACTGTCAAAAAAATTAACAAAAAGTCATGCTTCAGAAGAAATATTTCATGTCTAGTCACACCACAATCAGTGATATTGTCATCCAATGGGACTCAAAGGTGATTTACTCCCAAGAAACAAAACATTTAGGAGTTAATTTAGGACTTGGTAGTCTTCAGGTGCAATGAGCAGGTTTGGCCACAGAGTGGCAGAGCTGTGACATCTGAAGGAAGGAGGAGGGGGAGGAGAGGAAGGAAGGAAAGACATATTTCTTCTCAGCAGGACACTGATGGAGGCAGTAGAGATGACATCAAACCTGTGACCTTTCACACACACACACACACACACACACACACACACACACACACACACACACCATGTAACCATGCTCACATTCAAGGAAACAATAAAGATTTATTGTCATTATGCAACGGATGACAATATAACGAAATGCAGTTGTGGACAAACACACACATACACACTCACACACCACACACACACACACACACACACACACACACACACACACACACACACACCTATTGTGAGGGTAACCACTCCATGGTGACCGGAGGGCTAACAGCTTAACGATCGCCCAGTTACCTAGGCAACGGGAGGCAAAGATGGGGCCTCTCTCTCTCTCTCTCTCTCTCTCTCTCTCTCTCTCTCTCTCTCTCTCTGCCCTGAGAAGAAACCTACAGGGGCTTAACTGTGTCAAAATGAATGGAGGTTGAATCAAAAGTTCTGCTCTGAACAAAGATCAACTCTAAGTGACAGATCAAACAAAATCAAAACATGCCATTTCAAAATAGTATTCTGGAGAAAAATATTTAACTTCGTAACTGGATCCCTAGAATGAAAACAAATGAGATCAGTACAAAGTGAAAAGCAGTTAGTAACGTGGGTTGAGTAGGCAGAGAGAGCTAGCAGCGTGGCAGGAACTACGGGATAGTCGATTAGCTCGGAGAGTCGAGAGACAGCGGAACCAAGATTTCCTCACTGTTTTATATCAATTTTAATCTACAATACTTAAGAATGGCCACACAATGCCAGGTCTCTACACTATATTCACCAGTGACACATGAGTCATGCAAAATAAATGCACATATACATGAACTCACCTGCTCTTGATGTTCTCTCTCTCTTTGACACACACACAAAAACACACAATAATTCATGCTTGTATGAACTTCAAAGTACGTCAGATCTTGATGTGTTTTGGTGCTGCATCAACTCTATCTCTCCAAAAATGTGTGTGTCTTTGCAAGTGTGTGTGAGACTGTGTATTGGGTGTAATATGTGTGAATTTATGCATGTACGTCTGTGTGTGTGTGTATGTGTGTGTGTGTGTGTGCATCAGTGGTATCAAAGAAGCAGAATCCTTAAAACACCTCAAAATCACACATGAGGTCTGACGCAAGAGGAGAAAAAAATACAAGGAGGAAAATGAGAATCAAGGAGAAGACGAAGGTGGAAGAGGAAGAGGAGGGAGGAGGGAAGGAGAGAAGATGGAGAGAGGGATGGAAGAAAACGAGGAAGATGTAGCTTAAAGACGAGGAAGAAACGTTGAAAGTAGAGGAGGGTTGATTGGAAGGGCAGATAAAGAACAAAGAAGCAGAACAAAGAGGCTGACCAGTGAGGAAGGAAGGCGAGGATGAAGATGAAGACAGGTAAAAGAGGGATTGAGATTGGAGAGAAGGCAAGGGTTACAGTTTCTGCTTGTTACATGCATACAGTCATACAGTCTCTTCCAATATAGGTTTACATAATTTTTAGGTTTATTCACAAAACAAACCTACTTGGTTAGCTTTAAAATCGCGGCCTCAGTTAAAATAAGTATGTTTGTTATGTACTTAACTAATGCCACGTCATTTTTGTAACAAAAGTAAGTCAACGTTGACTTGGTGTTACATGGACACTAACAGCGGCCTCCTGGGCGAAAGTCTGTGTCGAAGGTGATCCACACTGACCTCCGTTAAGTGGACTTTCTTGCTCTTTATACTACTTCAGTTACTCTGACCGTCGATGAATGAAGCGTATGGGTTTACATTGGAGTCAGCTGAAAGCCCGGTGTGTCTCAAAGGACTCAAAGAGTGCCTTGGTGCGTCGGTATCAGACACCGAGCGGCGCTGACCAAGTGAGTGAGAACAGGGTTGATTGAACTTGAGAAAAAAGGAAGGAGTGCTTGGAAGCAAGGAGTGAAAAAGAAAAACAAAAGGTCAAATAAGGGGCGGAATACTCAACCCATGAGTTCCTCCTGCTGCGAAGTAAAAGAAAACAGAGAAGAAGAAACAGAGTGAAAACAGACAAAGGAAAAGGAAAGCAAAGGGAAAAAGTCTTGAAGAGAAAAGGGAGGAGGAGGGATTGTTGTTGGGTTGCTGGATCTCCAGAGATGCTTGCCAAATAAACAACAACTCCTCAGGATGGAGGGATGGTGATGTGAGAAAGAGATCAAAGAATGTTGGTTTGAGGGAGAGATTTTGTGTTGTCGCCTCGAGAGGAAAGAAAGAGGAGATTCAAGAAGAAACAAGAGAAACCGGGCGGGAAGATTCAGCGGAAAGCGTTGGTGGAGCTCCAGCTTCAGTTTCAGCTCCGCCTCACTCCGGTATCGCACCTGGGAACTCCTCAGTACAGTCCAAACACAGAAAAACCACGGCCAGTAAGAAACAGCCATATAGAATGAGCTAGATTCTGTCTCAGTGGCGGACATACGTTACAGGTTTTGCAGAGCTTGTTGGATGTATTCAGCAAGTCAAATAAAAACAAAATTCAGCAGCAGTGTTTAATGAAATACAGAGCTTTTGAGGCTCATGGGTACTGTTGTATTTAGAGCCAATTGATAAAAAACTAATGTTCTTGATGAACTGTTCGCAAAAACTAGGAAATTGTGATTTGTTCCAGAAAGTGCATTGGCTTAGTTTGAAAGAAATCTGAAATCTGCTGTTCTAAACTTGTATCCTTGAAATATGGGTATATTGTATAATACCAATGTATAACAGCAGATACATTTTAAAAGAAACAGTTACCTACTGATTGGTTAGTTTTTCTTTTGTGTTGTCATTCTTATCGTCATTATGTTGGTGCAGTTTCTTTTATTCCTTTTTAATATTTTTGGTTTCTCTCCTCATGTTGAGGGGAGGTCTGTTGTATAAGCCTGTTTCTTCTTGACCTCTCCCGTCACATTTCTTATTTTGCCATTATCTGGTTTTCATGAAGTCTCATTTGTGTGCAAATAATAAATAATGAAAAAAAGAACATCGAGTAACGCTGACCTTTTTTAAAATCAACATAATCAGAAAATGTTAAATTGGCAAGTCACAAAATGTTCATACTGCAAATCTTATAATATTTTGTTTGTTTTCCTTGCAACATGATATCCGGTCGTAGAACCGAAAACATAATTGAACTATTTGATGGTTATGCTTAGGCACTTTGTTTCCCTGACACCTAGCAAGTGGTTAGGATTAGGGAAATATTGTGGTCTTGATTAAATACTGACAATGAATAGTGACTTTTTTTTACTTAATTCACATTTAACCAATAACACAATCTTTTGGTTGTCTCAATCTAACATGCAGGACTCAGGATGCAAACCTCAGTCTGTGCTTTGTATGTCATTAAATGTAAAAACGAGTTACGCCCTTACATATGAAGTGAAGTAAAGTGAAGTGCTCAATAGTTCCCTCACAAAGCTTCCCAAATAAGTTAAGTAAAGTTAAGTACAAGTACCTTAAACATTGCAATTAAGTACAATATATGACTTCATATTTATTTTCCATACGCTGTAACAGAAAACACAGACAGCAGTGTATTTCGCCGGCTGTTCAGCCATGTTTACTACAGTATTATTCCCATCTACAGTTATCAGCACATCTTGTTGAGCTCTTTTTTTAACAGCGTCATAGATATTTTCACCACTGGTTTATTTTTCTGCTCATTCACTCAGAGGATGTTGAAGCAGCATTATCAAAAGAACTTAGAGCACATCCTGACATACATACTGTACATACAATACATACATACGAACCAAAGCACACACACTCATACACGTCCTAGTATAGCGCCACTCTGATATATACAGATATATAGAATGAGTAAAAAAAGAAAAGAAAATCTATTTTCAGTTTTTACATCTTAATATAAGAGTCATACCAAAGACATGGCCACTGAGTGAGTAAACAATAGATAAATATATATAAAACAAATACAAAAATAAATAAACATAAATACTTGCATCAATTAATAAAAGATGATTTGAGTTTTTGAACTCGCTTACTTTTTTAACATGTTTTTGTTCAAGTCGGTATATAACCAGCGCACCACTTTTTACTTTTATTTGACTACACAAAGGGCTTCATTATCCAATCAGAGAAAGCGAAGCCTCGCCCTCGGCCCACGATTGGGTGGTTACCATATGCATTATCTGTACATTATCATGCTTGACATGACATAGAATTGTTGTTTTCAGCACCATTAACATCGCAGTGACTGCCACCACTGTACCAACATCCACTAGTTCATAGGACACAACACTGTCAGGATAATGCTAATACCAAGTTATTACTGATATTGACTTTTAATTTCTATTCCTGATTTGTTATTTATCCATTTCAACCCACCACAGACACAGTTTTCCCGCAGAGCAGGTAGGAGAGCTGATATGGAAATGTTGCCCTTGCTGTCTAATTGGGAATACAATCAAAAACCTTTTGAGGATCTGAGCGCTTACATACTTGCTTTTAACAATGCATTAGTGTGTGCATGATGGCCACGCGTGTACCCAATGCTCCGGAGCGTTGATTGTTCACAACATCAGATAATAATGCAACTCATCTGCAGGATGCAATTAGAAACATGGCCTCTCTGGCAGACTCTGACAACTAAACAACAACAATGATGGAAGGTCTTAAAGACAAACTAAGTAACTAAGACATTCTCACGACCATATATTCTGGTGTCTGCCCCCTACAGGATACACTTTTTTTTATCCTACAGGTAGACTGAAGTATATGCAAGATACTGCATCACAACCCCTTATCCTCGTAAATGCATTGTTAAAAGGCAAGTATACAAACTACTCTTAGTGACTTGCTCCACCCATCGACCAAAAGTACACAAGGTTGGAAATACTTCTACTGGGAGCCCCTTCGCCACTTCAGAATATACACATGCGTCATCAGCATAAAGGTGATAATTAAACCCACCCTAGATGCTGCATAATAAAGACATTTGTGTTGGTCCCAGGTGGCAGCAGGAGGGAACTGTTTGAATTCCTTCACTACCCAAGAAAGTAAATAGTAGATTACTCCACAGTAAACTGTCCGTCTGCCAGGGTGGATATGGTGAAGAGGTTCATACACGTTGAACAGCTTTCTCTGGATGAAACATTTGTTCAGTAGATGTTTTTAGTTTTTACACTATAAACATTTTGACGTAAAATGTTCATGTTAACACAACAGCATGCCCCAGCTTTGAAAAGGGTAAGGGAAGTGCCAAAGTAAAGTTGAGATGTCATTTATATTCATCCGAATAAAAACTAGAATCTAAACAACTTTGACACAAGTTTATAGTAGTTAAATATGAATTTTTACTGTGCCATAATATTTTGTTTTTTTGTGCTTGTGTCAGTCAACCTTAAATTGGTGACCCCCTGAACAGTCACATCCTCTAAATGCTTGTTGGGTTGTAATTTAAAAATCTTGGTGTTGCAGCTAAGGAAAAATAAATGAAAGTTAAACTGCATCATGAACTGGGAGCTACACAGTATCTCAAATGCATCTTCAATGGTGTTTTGATGGACATGCTTTTTGAGATGCATCAGAGTCACATAGGGAATGCAATGGTGTTAAGAGAAATGCTTTTGAGTGCATTGCTAAAAATGCTAACATCTCGTGTTGCCTTTATCTAAAACAATCACAACATTGGTATAAATGTTTCTTGGATGGACTCGAAGAACGTCCTCTTCATAACAAATCACAAGTCACCTTATATGCACAGACTAACCTAAGGCTTTTAAAGAAACGTTTCAAAGAACTTCAAAGAGACTGCCAAAGAGAGATCTGTTGTGTAATATGAGAGAGGACAAAAATTAGCTTTGATGAGAGTGTTTTTTTTTGTTTTTGTTTTTTTCACTGTTCTGCCTCCAGGTACTGTTGCTGACCATGCTGGACTTTCTTAGCATCTAGCTGCTTCTAATTGATAGTAACACATTCACACCTGGGAGCTGCTGCCTTTAAACTTCAACCCTTGAAGTTGTGTGCCGATCAACTCCGCTGAATTTGTTCAAGTTGTGCGGGCATCACAACAGCAGTTTAAAAGGAGCAAAGAGGATTTCTCATCTGACGATTTAATTTTTCCTGTCAGTCGACTGATGTCACTTACCAGTACAAACCTGACTCTATCGACTTTGAAGGCCTGTACATGGTTTCATTTTGTAAACATCTTCTTTCAAAAATTCCAAACCCTTGTCACCATCCTATCTGTAACAATAAACAGCAGCTTTTGCTAACTAGCTAGCCCGCAAAAACAATCCTGGTACTTTGCAACTCTGAGTTTTTGTTATCAATTTCTTTTGCGTGTATATTGTTACTTGTATTAACCGCTCACTAGATTTGTTCTAGTGTTTTCACATTCCAACAAACTGTTGTAGGATACCTTAAGGTCTGTTGATGTGACTAAGAGACATTTTTTTATCAGCTACTGTTGAAAATGTTTTCATAGCACAATGAGGTTGTTAATGACACCCTTTATACCTCTACATCTTATGTATTCTAAGAAAAGTGGACAACATTTAGACTCTTACGAGTAAATGAAGCTTCTTCATCCAAAAGTCATTCATCAACTAGAGCTTATTATAATAGCTTATATCTGACATCTGTATTTATTCAACTGTACATCACAGGCCTGTTTGTGGCGAGTTAGAGCATGCCATATGGGGGGTAACCATCGCGGAAGTCGTCCACCTTACATCCTTACATCCAGACCTGATTGATTTTTTTCCAATTAAGTCCTTTATCAAGTTGGGGGGTGACAGAGCAGCTGGGATGTAATCAATGGAACTTTTGCTATGGCTGTTTTTGTACCACATATGGATGGCTGGCTGTTATCACTTGTATCTCAGGCTTACATTTCAGAATCACTTGTGAGCCATTCACATGATGGGTCCTTGTTTTGTCATGAGACTTGAGCCCAATGTATACGACTACATTTCTCTTTCGACACCACGGACAGAATGTGAGGGACATGCAACCTTTTGGAAGCATGATGGTACAGCAAATGTAAAATGTTTTAATCTCTGTCTAATTGCAAAGACAAATACTCCTATTCACTGTATGTATACTCTGCAAAGTGATTGCATTTCTTTAAATATTAAAGAGTACTCAATTGGCAATTAATTAGTGATTTGGAGGTAAAAAGAAATCTAGACGTCTTGATTAAAACCCGGCTAAGTGTTGTTAAAAAGTGAGATATCATTAATCATTGTTTAATTCAAGTTTTTAGTTTATTTCATCCTGTAGTTATGTCCTGCGTCACTGGTCATAACTACGTTAACACATTTTAAGGGCTGTTGAAACATCATATTTAGCCTTTTATACGTCACCCAGATTTCTAAAAATAACTATCACTTTTCAACCAAATTTAACTTAGTTTTAACCTAGATGTCTCGGCGTCTTTTGCCCTGCAAATCACGTAGGCAATATTTATGAGATAGTGAGTCCCCATTCTTGTCTAATTTGCTACCAAACCAAATGATTGCATGTCCCGTGCAAACTCCAGTCTCTAAAAGTTCCCAGGTAAGTCTCTGTTGAATCTCCGAGTCCAAGGCTCAAGTTCATGCAGCGGACTGTTTCTCAATTATCTCAAACTCCGCAACTTCATTGCCCTCAAATCCTTTTACTTCTTGCTCTAACCATGCAGGATGAAACCAAATCTAACACTCCTTGGTCCCAGGATGAGCGATCAAATGTCTCACCTCCAAGCTTTTAGAAAAGATGAAGATTATCTCAGTTCAGTGTTACTCCCTTTACTTCCCACGGCTCATTCATGCTACGTACTCCCGGACTGCGCCCTAAGGGGAGAGCTTTAGTCCCAGATTGCGCTTCACATTTTACAATCAAGTTTGACAACCTCTTTAAAAAAAAAAAAAAGAGTTGCCTGAAACTCTGTCTCCTTTCCATGCTTCTCCTGGGCATAGGTAGTCCTGGGATGAGAACTGATCTCAGGCTTAGCCTTGGTCTCAGACTGCACTTTTACGTTTAAAAGCCTCCGTTGGCTTAGACGGTTGTCTCATATTCTAAAACCTCTTTGCTGCCCATCATGCTACTCCTGTACTGTATCCTCGGGCTGACGGCTGATGAGGTCTCCAGAAGCAGAATGGTTTTGCGAAGACGCCGATCGATAAAGTGCGCATCCCAGGCCGGGTATCGCTTCCTTGGGAGGTCGATCCGGATCACAGGTCCCTCCTGTGCACGAGATGAGGAGGAGGTCCTGTGAAGGAGTGCAGGAGAAGATGAAGGGGAGGGACGTACCTGGAAGACAGGCAGGCAACTGTCCCTGTCTCTGTCCTTGTCTCGCTCTCCGGGAACCGGCTCCCCCGTGTCTTTAGTCCTGGGGAGAGTTCTCGGAGGGCTGGTAATGACCATGTCTGTTTGGGAGCCATGGGATGGGGTGAGGCAAGCATCAATCACTCCCGCTACCCCTACCGCACTCACCACACCCTCATCCACACACCCTCCCCACTGTGAGCCCAGAACGGGCCCATCCGGGTGCAGCCAGCAGTAGTACACCAACATGAAGAAGGTTCCCAGGGCAAAGCTGCAGGCCACCAGGCACACCACCACCAGGGCATAGGAGTCGGAGGTGTGTGGGCCACGGTAAGTGTACCAGGCGGCGGTCAGTGCCACATTCTCAACCAGCGTCACAGAATAGTAGACGGTCATCCGTAGGCGACTGGGTCCTTCCTTGACATTGAACCAGCAAAAGATGTAGATGATGCCCACCACCATGTTATAGATGATTTCCTCCCATTTGGACATGCAGAAGTCAGTTTCACCTTGGATGATCCAGAAGGTCATGACACACCTGAAAGACAATAAAGAAAAGCCTTAATAACGGCACTATGAGTCCTGCTACTAAGAATAATAAGGTCATTCGGATGGACAACCTCAAAAGGACTTTGTGATGACTGTGTATTTTCTATTTTCTAAAAGATAGCACCTATTCTTTGTTTTAATACCGACATGCATTTTATTATTTGTACATTATTACTACGACCATCATTCAAGTTAAAACTCTAATGAGCAGATGGACATGAAATTCACTGAGCACATTCATATTCTCTTTATTTTGGACACCTATATATGCACCCCAATGTCATAACATAATATAACTTGTAGTCTAATGAACTGATCTCAATGCAATTTAGGGAGCAAATTCTCAAAATGTGTACGGTGACACGTTTTAACACTTACTTCCCAATAACAATGAGATGGGCAACGCAGGTAATCATAAGAATTATCATGTGATGCATGTTTAGCGATTTCAATCTATTACCTGGGTAATGTAATGCATTTTTAGGGATTTTAATTATATACCTGCATGGGAATTAAGGGATATTTCAACGAAACATTTGAAAACACAACAGACGCACAATTGCCTAAAGTTAAAGCATGACAAGACATTGATATTGAATCTCTGCTTACCACAACCTTTTTGCACCAATTTGATACATTTATAAAAAATCACAATGAATGGGGAGGAACATTATAAATCAACCAACATTAACTATTGTGTGTCCTTCTTTAGGGGAAAGAAGCGGCAGAGTGCAGAGAAAGCAGATTGTTGTGAACACACTGATTTAATAAGGCTAATGAGTGAGAACGGGCGTATGTTAAAAGAGGATATATTTACAGTTTTTACTGACGATTTACTTAATCAAGCTGTTTCCCTGTACAATACTGTAAACGACAATGTATTTCAGTAAATACATAGCATGACTATCTCAAGGCTCTAATTTTGGACACAGATGTATTGAATAATTGATCTTCTATTTCTTTTGAGGACCTGCCGTTGAGATACAAGACCACTGATACAATATTCATTTGATGTCAATGCAGCCAGTCAATGGTTGGGTAATAACTGTAAACTTGTACTAAACACTCAAACAATAAATATTTTTTCTGGTTACTATAATTGAGAGTTTTCTCCTGATAACTATTAAAAAAACTCGTCAGTATTCATCATTTTGTCAAATACTAAGCTTCTCATAGTGGGTCCAGACTCTTTTGCATCAGGTCACATGGCGCACCAGTGGCTGACGATGAAAATGCCGAAGTAGAGCTGGAAGACGGAGGCGAAGAGGGCAAAGGCCACGGTCCTCGCCCCGATGGTGAAGAAGTGCCACAGCATCTGGGTGATCACGGCCTTGTAAGACATTGGCAGCTTGTCGTCGCGGGAGTCCCGGAGAACCTTCTGGTAAGAGGCGATCATCCAGGCCAGAGAGACCAGGGAGGCCGAGGCAGAGAGCCCTGGAAGGACAGATGAACAGAGAGAGAGAAAACAACAAGAGGAAGGGAAGAAAGAGGCACAAATTTAAAAACATTTGGGTGATGAAGGGGGAAGTTAAATAAAGAAAGGTAGTAGCTGGCTAATTATAACAAATACACACTGACATGAAATACCAATATTTCAGTCAAATGAACTGTGAAACTTTGATATTGAATGTGAACAAGTGTCTCAAATGTGACAATTTTAACCATATACCTCACAGCATGACAACCATGACAATCACTGTCAAATGTTTGAGACCTTTAAGATATTTTTTTCCTGGACCAGAACAAACTGAACAACTGCTAGTGAAAACAACACAATGGTAAAGAATTTCTGTTTACCAAAAGATGGCGTAACGTCTCAATTGATGCTAAAATTCTAATATGGGACCTTTAAAAGTTTTGCGTCCTCGCTCATTCAAGTAGACCTGGACTAGTTTCAATTGAAGTAAAAGGATCATTAGCCCGCACACGTAACTGTGAGGCACACTGCAAGCCGCCCAGAGTGCAGTTTAAACACATTAAACATTCATGTGTGTTAATCATGCAGTCTTGTCTCAAATTAGCCATGAATCACACTGAGAAGGCATTAAAATTTGAGCAGAAAAAGAGCTGCATCGACTCTGCATTTTAATGTAATGTTTTTATGAAGAGATCGGGGAGAACTTGAATATTCCTCTCATGTAGAAACTTACTGATATTTAAAAAACTAAGATTACTGCTGTTGAAAACAAGTTTTTGCCTTGAAGACTCAGAGTTGCAGTTTTTAGGTCCATAACGTCCATAAGGTCACTCTTAAAGGCAGGGCGGGAGAGGGACTCGATTAGCCACTTGTATCAAATGGCCTAAAAGCAATGCAGGACATTTTGCTTGATCACATCGTACTCAAATGATATGCAGATTGTCATGTTTTTCTTCTAATCTAGTTTTTCTGTTTGTTGTACTTGAAACACCTTGAATGCCCGCTCATGCTCTTTAATTACAAAGTCGTTAGAGATCGGAAAAAACAACAACAATAATAATTGTACAAACAAAACTGATTGTTGCTTTAACGAAACACAAAGATAACTTGTGTTCTTCAGTTGTTGAATTCACTCCTCCATGTTTATGTCAGGACGGCACCTTTGAGAGCGCGTCTATTTCACAGCGGGCAGAATGCTAAATTATTCCATTTTTGTTTTGATCTCAGTTTGTTTTAATATTCATTTCTTACTTTATGTTTTTAGAGTGTGTCTTGGTTTCATGTTATTAGTGGTTCGTTCCTAAGTGTGTTCTGCAGCAGGAGAGATTTCTCTGGATGTTTTCACCATCATCCTTAGCTTGATACATTTTACCCTTTTATACAAAATGGAATTTGACATCATCCCAAGCTGACCATCTCAGGGAACAACCCCCTCTTGCTGAGTTGATAAACCCCACCTGGGTTTACAAGCCAGACCAATGACATGACTCGTTTCCTGGCTTCAGGAAATAAACCAAAGCAGCTACAGAAGAAATGAAGGAGAGGGGATTATGGGTGGAAAGAGACAGATGCAGTTTGTTATGCTTGGAATACCCAGCACATCCCAAATATTTGGAGAAACTATAACCAGCAGGGATTTATAATAACAGATGACTTGAATGATTAATTGGCAGAACTGAAAGTCGGTTAATTTGATTGGTTTGCTGACCAATGAGCCATATCAGCACCAAGGTGATACATGGGAGAGTCTGTATTGTATACTGTAAGTGTTTGGTCCTCACTTCTTCAAAAGTCTATTTGAGGTTTAAGACAAGGTTTTAGGGTTTAAGTTAGAATTTCGGCTAAGGTTAAGGTAAGTAATAAGGAAATGAAGCAAAACTGATTTTCAAATGTCACATGGAGAGCGATTAGATTTTCAGCAGGAGTTAAGAAAGGTAATTTAGCCTGGCACTGTGGCTTATGCAGGCAGATAGTTCGAACATCGAACAAGAGATTTATTTCTCTTCTGTGGCAATAGACACAACAAAAGATGACAAACAGTGGTGTTAACATTACCACGCTAAACGATTATACTGGCTTTCCCCCTGCACACGCCTCTTGTATATGAGAACAGCCAGCCCAGCAACCACACAGGTGAGCTATCTATACAGAAACACTCTCAAAGGGCCATACATGTTCTTCTAGTGACGGTCAAAGCTCAACCACTAACTGAGTCACGTCTTTTCAATCTGTCTTTTGTGATTGTATGCGCCAGATCTGAAAACAGCCGTGTCCTAATCTGTGTGTCCGCAGTTGACAGGTTGAATGCAACCTGCCAGATCAGATAGTGGTGATGTGAGACCTACAGTACGTTTGATAAACTGTCCCGATCGTGCCCGCATGCTGTCCACACCTCACTGAGGTCTGAGCTTAGAATGAGACAGGCCCCTTCTGCATGCGGTCTGGTTGATCCGATCCTAGAGCGAGCAAGAGCTGATCACGGAGCGCAAAGACTTGACAGTTGATGCGTCCTGGCATGATCGGATGACAAAAGTTGAACTGAAACGACAAGCGTAACCACGGCCTAGGATCCCGGTAGTCGCTGCTCATGTCATGCATGCCGTTGTGTTACACTCAGTGTGTGAACTACAGAATACCCTGGGGTTCTGGAGAAGCTCACTTTCTTTTGTATTGCCCTTGTCCCTTCTTTTTGACATATCTGTATGCTGCTGACTAAATAAAAAGATAACGTTTTTGATATTGCGTCACCATACTTTGCTGGTCATGACAAGCCGGTATCTTTATTAAAGTAAAATACCGATGCATTACCCTCCTTAATGAATCATACATCGATAATAGCCGAATTTTACGCATGATCCATGATGATGAAAACACAGAAAAATAGAAATGCAGGGCAAAAATAGCATATTGTCAGTAGTTTAGAGACCGCCAAGATTTCACAGATCATGTTTTCAAAAGGACCTCATGTCTTACTAAGAGGAGCCAAGCTCTCCCTGGCTCCCCTGTATGTTGTACCTTGGCTACACTGAGATGTTAAGGACAGTCACTGTCCCCGTGTCCCCTCGTAGAATATAAGTATGGACTTAATAACAAATTATGCATATAATTATGCATATTTGTAAGCTTTTCTGTTGGTCATGTGTTTTTAAGCTTTCATATGTGTCCCGTGATTCGTACAATTCAAATATGTGTCTGATTCTTCACTTCGGTGCCGCCAGGTGTGTGTGTGTGAATGCTGAGTGTGTACAGTGTGAGCGTCTGTGTGTGTGTGTGTGTGTGAGAGAGAGTGAGTGAGTGAGAAAGAGAGAGAGGGAGAGAGAGAGAGAGTTTTGTTTTATTCATCAAAGGCCAATCTGCTTCTTGTAAGAGGTGCATAAATAAAGCATAGACTCCACTACTGATATCTGCTGTCTAAACATGCATATGCACACACACGCGCACACACACACGCGCACACACACACACACGCTCTTTCTCTCTCTTAGGAGAAGCCTTTGTAACAACCAGAAATTGCAATAAAATCCAATAAAATAGGTCCAATATAAAGTAGATAACCATCAGGATAATTCCGACCTATTACTACTGGGATCTATATGTGTTCATAGTCTTCTATCGTATTTTTAAATTTCTTAATCAGTAATATAAACATTGTACTAAAACTGTGGTAAAGTTGTTTAAATGATCTGGCTTCCTGCTGAATCTGACATGGCTCTATTAGCTGTGTCACAAAATTTCAGCAACTCGGTGAGTACAACTTCATCATATCAATCGAAGGCACTCTGTCAGTGAAACCTGCTTCCACTGACGTGTCACACTTTCCACAGCGGAGCAGGAAGTGCATCTCGCTCACCTTGCAGCGGGAGGACGATGTTTCCGTGGATCATGATGCTCAGCTGGAGGACGAGCTGCGGAGCGGACTTCAGGAAGGCCTCCAGGAGGCGCAGCATGGTGATGTCAGCGCTCTCGAACATCAGCCGCCAGTGGAAGTGGCGACAGGGCCCGTTGCCGTGCCAACGGCTCTGGGCACCAAGGTAGAGAGCGTGGACGTACCTGAGGGCGAGAGAGGTTCAGAATAGTGATGCGCGATGCTTCTTTATCAGCCCTGCATCACCAGTGCTTTCAGAACATCATTTTACAGGACATTTTAGGGATTTAGAATCTGTACATTTGACCTCATGCAAGACATTTTTCATATTATTAACTTTCTCTGACTTTATTTTGGTGGGCCGGTACGAGTGTGCCACGTCAGATAAATGCTTTTAACTTGAGATAACTATGTAAACGACCATCGTAAACACAACGAATGCCGCCTGTTTGTAAATGAACGCACCTGAATGAGAATTGTAAATGATCATATTAACGCCCCAATATTACCATATAAGGCTACGCGTCCAGCCCCATATCTCCTATATTGAAGTCCTGCTTTTGGAGATTCATAAAGGAAAGTCTACAATTTTTAACAGCGTCAGCAGCAGAATTAAGGTCCTGCTAGAGCCGAGGAGTGGAGAAAACAATGAGTGTTTTTAATGCCGTGTCACCTGAGTGCCGTACTGTCACTGAAATAAAGAAGACACTGTTTGATATGAAAAACGTCTCGCCACAGCGATCAATGACTGCAACGGGAGGGGGTCAAAAAATGTAGGTCATTTTGCATATTGAGATGGTCATATTGGTATTTTAGTGTTGTACAAAAGTATCAATAGACACTTTAAATTGATGTTGATATCATTAGTTATGTGTACAGATTTTAGATCATATTAGCCTATAATTTGAATAGTACAGGATAATGTTAACACAATTATGAGGTGTAATTTATTCAAGGCTTTCAAACTCAAAATTGCTTCAAAGTAATCAAATATTGAATGCTTTAGTGAAAATATAAAACTAAAACCCAAAACTGGTAAAAGAAATGGAAACAAATGATTTTCCAGCATGACATATAATGCAAAAATGGCAAAGGTACAAGACTGTGTCAATAATTATTTTAAGAGTGAAGGAACTATATCCCGTAAACCGTTGTGAATGGTCGCCCCTCGAAACTCCAGATAAAACCGTTATCTAAAATGAAGAGAGATTCAGTAGCTGCCTGCCTTATTTCACGCCTCAAACACATCGTAGAGAACTTCCAGGCGCTCACTGTTGAGCCCTGTACTGTATTAATACACAGAATAATCACATTAAAAAGTAAAAAAAACAACAGGATGTCAGTCAAGGAGGCTTTTTGTTCACACTGAGGTGTTTGTGTGTGATGAAGGTAGTGGCAGAGCATCACTAATGCCAAACAAAAATCTCAAGGGTTTTCTTGCATATGTCAGAGCAGCAATCTAAATTCAAACGGGTGCAAGGCTATAACAGTAAACAAATCTAAATTACATATTCCAGGAGAAATATGAACCCTCACCACGCTGTTCTCCTGGGAGATAAAAACACCTGAGAGTGATGTGTGAATCTCTAGGGAAAGACCTTTACCCTCACCTGTCACTGTTTAACTCTGTTGTGCTTTTGTTTTGCTGTTTCTTTTGTGTCAGCGACAATATCGGTTGCCGGGTTGCAGCGGGTCAACTAGTATCCTCGTTTTTTGGAGAGATATTTGATGTGAGGAGAGGACGAGGCAGCGCCGTTCAAAGAACTGAGATGGGCCTGTTTTGTTGGAGGTATTATTTTAACCTGCTGGTGCAACACAAGGTCTGCATTAAAGAGCTGTCAGTCGGGAACAGGAGTGGAGTAAGAAAGTGTGACAGAAAAACACAAGATACCTTTTGGAAAACAGGTTGTTCTGCCTTATAAGGCAGACGTGGTTTCAAGCCGATGGTGAACGAGAAGTAAACACAAACTGTGGCGTGGGTTCAGTTACATGAGTGGTCCAAGAGGTCCCTAAGACACACCTGAGAGGTCACTGGATCGCTGCAAAAAATCTGCTTCATTTTTGCGTGGAACTTGATTCATTACAGTTAAAAAAAAGATAATCTGCCAGTGCAGTAAGAATGTTTCTGACTGCACTCACAGTTTCTACCTGATACCAGCTGCCTTCTTCTTCTTTCAAGACACAGGCACTTTCTATAAAAACAGTCAAATTCTCACTGTTTTCACTTATCTAAAAAAAAAAAAAAGAGGCTTTAAGTATAACGTTGGAGGTTTTTAAAAAGAAAATTACTTAAAACAACTCTGAGGTAAGACTAAGATCTGTGACTGCAAGGTTCGTCAAGTAGACATTGCTTCATTTTAAGGGGTCTCATCTCAGATGGAGGAGTAAAACAAGGTGGCTGAAATGCATCTGGTGTTGGTGTGTATTTGAGGAAGGAGTGAGGCATCATGGGAGTGAAAGGATGGCAGACAGTAGCAGTAGTGCAGCAGGACGGATGAGGAGAGATGAAGCTATGCTGGAGGAAAAGTGAGACGACACTCACTTCCTGCGCTTCTGCATTTCAAGCAGATTTTAAATAGAGGGGTAAAAATAACCTAGAAGTGTAAGCAGATGCACACACACACACACACACACACACACACACACACACACACGTCAGCATATATGACGCTGTTCAAGTCTGCAAAACACAGGCAAGCACGGATACACATGTGTACGTGTTTGACATGCAAACTGTCTTACACACCTAAATACGTGATACACATGATATGCCTCATATGCATATTCTAACACACACACACACACACACACACACACACACACACACACACACACACACACAGAGTTACAGACAGGCAGGAAGGCCAACGAGGCAGCCTGGAAATCTGTATCTCTGCAAATAATTTGCTGTCCAAGCACTACTGGCACTCCTCCATTCAGTCCCTGTGTGTCTCTGCCTCTATCTTAATCTCCACCTCAGTATCTGTTATTTTTGACTTTCACCCTTTTATCTCTGTCTCTTTATTTATCTCTCCTTTTCTGTTCATCTGCTTTCTTTCTCTTTGATTGTGGACGGCGGTGTTGACGGCTCAGTGGGTCAATTACTTTGGTCCAGACTGTAATGTTTGTGCATGTGACATTAATGTGCCCATCAGGGTTAAATATAATCCTCTGATTTTACATGGAGCCAATTTGAATGTGTCCAATAATTTGGTTTATGACTAAATACCTGCAAAACTATATTGACGTTTCCATCAGCCTGCTGATGTTTTAGCTCACATTTAGTAAAGTCTGGCAGAGCTTCTAGCATGGCTGTAGACTCTAATAGTGTGCCTCAACTTGTGTACCTCTGTACTTACACTTACTATTTTGAATGCATAAGTGCGTTCACACTGACAAGTATGGCAAAAAGGCAGTACACAATGAGTACCCAGACGGTGTACTCATAACAGTCAAGAAGTTGGGTGTGGAATGATGGACACTCTGGACATTCACCATCCCCATCTTGGCTACGTAGTGGGTGTAAAGGGGCCAGCCTCTCGTGAAAATGGCGAGGAAGCTCTAGCGGTTGTGTTTGCTCCAGTGAACATTGCACTATTCGAATGCAAGTCGGCAAATATTTTGGCGGGCACAAATTGTGATCAAATGTTTGCGGTGAAGCGCCGTTTCAATTTGCCGTTTCAAGGAAGAAGATTCGAAATTCATGCACAACGAAAGTAAGTACATAGTGTACACAGTGTGCTACATAAGTGTAGGCTTACTAATAAAAGTATTTGAATTAAGACACAGTTTAAGTCTGGTTACCATTTAATTCCACATTTCTCTTTGTTCTATTGCTATTTATCCGTTTAGACTTTTTCAAACAATCCCTTGTTGTATTTCTTACTTGTTGAGTAGGCCTTTCTCTTTCATCTTCTATACCTTTTTTGTGTGTTTTCTCTAGGAATTGTTCATAATCCTTCTCTTTTTCTGCCTCCTTTCCTTTGCTTGTTATCTCTTATTTAGTTTCTCTCTCAATCCAATGTCATGCAGCTATTGTCTCTCTCTCTCTCCAACCAATTTATTTTGTTCTTCCCTTGAGCGTGCTCTCTTCTTCCAGCTTCCAATCTATAAAATCTATATAAATCGTCTCTCTACTCTTACCTCCGTCACTCCTCTTTCTCCTTCCCTATTCCTACTTTCTCCTCCTCCCCTTTCCTTTCCTCTGGGCAAAAACTCAAGGAGACTATCTACAAGGCCACAGTTGGACCTCTGAGACCCTGAACATTTGTGAAAAGAGCGAGAGTAGAGTCTTTGGAGAATGTCTGCCAAGTGTGATGGTGAGCCAAGATTGAGCCCAAGGAGCGAGAGAAGAAATTAAACTGTTATACACACTTCATTTAAATCTCCTTTAAATATATTTTACAGGTCAACAGAAATACAGTGATCAGCAGCAAAAAAGGAAACGGAGGCAAAGATTTGTAATTTAACTGAAATCACCAGCAGCTCTTTTAACATCATTTTATGTACATTATCACGCTTATTATACAGCTACTTACAAAAGAAATCAATCATTTGAAAGCTTTAAAAATGCTTGTAATGCAGTGTAGTGTAATAAAAATAACAAAATCAAGGCTCTATTCATACACTATATGGCTACATGTACAATGGTTCAACCAGACTGACAATTGTCTCCATGATGTCAAACAAACAAGAGAAGTCATCATGTGGCTGTGAATGTATTAAAGGTTATTATGTTGTTGCAGACATTCTGAACATTTGAACGTTTTTATAATTACGATCATGATTATAATAATTATTGACACTGTTGAGGCATCAATTGACTGTCTGCAGATTCCATCACTACAGCTCATTGACTTGAAATGGATCAGCATACCCAGGACACAGTGAGATGAAGTAAACAAAGGCCAGGAAACAGATATTAGAGGAAGGAATAATTAATGATTTGTTTCCCAAACGACAATAATAAAACTATGATGATAACTGAAGTGGATAGTTGGCACCAGGAGGCTGTTATGATGTTAAATCACTCAATTATTTCCTCATGATTATTTTTATAGCTACTGCTCACAAGGCTAATGACATCTCTGTATGGTTTCTGATGTTATAACTACATCTTAACCGCTGTGACATCACTGACAGCAAGGCCATTACTGTAAATCCTCCATTGAAGAGACAGAGAGGA